ATGATGAGAAGCATACGGGAAAATGAACCAAGAAGGGTTTGTATGCGACCAACATGAAAATTTATGTAGAAGGGTATCCAATTTCCCAGTGAATGTGCACTTCTGCTCAAAATAGAATCATTCATCCCCAATAAAGGTGTACTCTTGCCGAGACAATTCTTTGTCTTCAGTGAAAGTGTACCCATGCGTAACCCCCACTGAAGTCAACACTCTTGATAAGAGTTTGTTTAAGAGTTTGTCCCTTCCAGAGGGCTTATCTTCGAAGAAGTGCATTTCAGCAGGATTATGTACAATCTTCTTCTTCAGCGCAATCTACTGTTTTCAAAGAATATGGGAAGGATCATTTTGTTGGATTAGATACCTTTATTATATCCCTTTGAAGTCGATACCCTGCGCCTATGTGGTTGGTATTTATCTCCCCAGTAAGGTTGTCGTTCATCGTTTCTATGAAGTTCATATCTTTTCTCCATGGGGAAGTTTTTCCAAGTCAGGTTTTCTTGAAGAGATGTTTGATTAACATGTTTGTTATGCCCAGTGGAACAAGTCTCCTATTTTTCTGTAGCAGTGTTCATAGATGAATTCCGTTTAGAATTCTCTGACCCCCAGTGATAGAGTATTGCTAAAATATTTCCTCGGTGAAGTTATTAACCTCAAGCTTACGATTCAAAGATGCTTTCCTCTTCTCAAGTGAAGATTGTTACTTCTAGCAGTAGTATCCCCCATGTGGCCTAGGTAGAATTCTTTTATTCAAGAATTTTCGCGATTTCCCAGTCGAAGTCACTTTTATCGAGGACTTACATCAGAAGGACCAAGTTCCCAACGAGGTTCTCTTTATCATTGGAAAGAGATGTTGGATCTTTTCCCCAGGAAGTTGGGAGTTGGATCAGAGTTCAAATTTTCTATGAATTGTAATTTATTTTTGCAGTATTTTCCCCAGTAAAGGCTTACTCTCACCCGAGTGTTCCTTCTTCTCAGTGCAGTCTGTTCCTTTCCAGGTTTTCTCGGAAGAATTGTTTTATTCACCAAACGAAGATTTTTGGTATACTTCCCTTGAAGTCGACATTCTACAGCTTCCCCAATGAGGTTTGCACTCATCCTCCCTATGAAGTATGTATTCTCCTACTCAGTGAGGGATGCACTCCCTCTTCTCCATTGCGGCTTGCCTATATCAGAGTTTTTAAAGAGACTCATGTTTACCTATGGGAGATTCTAGTTTGGCATCCTCATAAGGACGACCATCATCCGTAATGATAGGATTTCTGCTCTCCAGTATAAAAATCCTTGTCGGCTTGAATCTTGCAGAGATGGTTACACCCAGTGCAATGGGTATTGTTGATGTTACCATCTAAAGTTATTTTGGCTCCCCAATCAGTGTAAGAGGCAGTCTTTATCCCTAATCGAAGCCGAATTTCGAGAACCTGCCGAAGTAAGGTATCCATTATTCCCCAATGGAGCTAGCTTTCTTTCCCTAATGGAACAAGTGTCCTGTTTCCCAAGTGTAATGGGAATGCCAGTCATAACTCCTTCATTCCCGAGGAAAAAATATTTTGGTGAGATATCCCCAGTGGAGTTTCTGTCCCAGGATGTGTGTTTCTTCCCCAAGTAGAGGTTTTTACCTCTCAGTGGTGTTATCCCCATCATTGTCTATGTAGAATTATTTTTTTTAAGAATTTCTATACTCCCCGGTAGAAGTTATCTTCGTCAATAAATTTTACGCAAGAAAGTTTCCATCCCCAATAAAGCTCTCCTCTTTCTAAACAGAAGATGAGGAATTTGTTCCCCAAGAAGTTGGGAGTTTGATCAGAATTCAAGATTTCCTCTTAACTGCAATTTGTTTTTGCATCATTCTCCCCAGGAAGTTATTCCCTCGTTGATATCGATCTTTAGTGGTTGGTGGTTCCGATTCGCGGTTCCCCATTGAAGTTCAGATTGCCTTTTCTCTACACAAGATTAGATATACAAAGATAATCGTTCGAAAGTTCATTGTCTTCTTAGTAGCCGATTATTGACGTGCTTTCCCCAGTGCATTACTAAATAAGCATCATTACATTGCATCTACCAAAATGCGTAACATTTCCATTATATATGGAGCATTATGCTATAAAAATTCAAACATGCATAAGTATAAGCCAACTATGTTTACCTGTTTTAACCAAATTGTTATGCACTCAGATTTGAATTATCTCCATAACAAGCTTAGGGTGATCATATTATGTTTCCCTAGCGGAGTTTTTTTTATTCACCACCAGTCTGGTCTTTGGTATTTCCCATTTCCCCAGTAAGTCGTCGTTTGTTCTTGCCCTTGAAAGTCCTTTGGTTATTTTACCCGTGTATGTTTTGTCGTCAGAGTGTAAGTAAGAGTCGGTGTATAACCTTTCTTATTTCTCAAGTATTTAAGTATCCATACTTGGTGTGTGGTAATTCAGATAATTGCCACTCTTGAAGAATTACACCCCGCCTTTGGCCTGAGGGATAATGTAGTTCTTGTGCTTTTTCAAACATTAACACCCTCTCAAAATCCCAATATGTATCGGCAATCCTTGTTAGAGTCCCCTTCGGATGGTCTCTTTCTCTTGTAGAGTTCACCTTCGATCGGTTCCCTCTAAAGGTCCTGCTTAGTCGGTTCCTTATTTTTGGTTTATCCGCTTTAGTCGGGTCCTCATTTATTTAGTTTAGCTAACCTTTTCTGTTAAGAGTCCTCCAGTGTCTCTTCAAAGTCCAGTTGTCTAGCAACCTTGTTTAGGAAAATGCGTCCTTTCTTGTTGGGGCTTTCTTCGGTTAGTCTCTTTCTTGTGTTCTCTATCAACTCCAAACATTTCTTTCTTGATGCTCAATTTCGCTTTTGTGTGTCTTACTCTAACCAGGCATGCATATCTTTATTTCCTATAAGTTCGCCTTTTATCAGCATTCTTTTCATAGGAATATACCTTTGGCATAATATTCCTTATTAAAGATTCCCCTTCGGCTGGTTTTTTTATCTTGAAGTCCACCTTCGGCTGGAACCCTTTAAATCCACCTTCCGCTGGTACCTTTTGTTAAGAGTCCCCTTCGGCTAGTCTCTTTTCATTATAAGTTCCCCTTTGATTGACATTCTTTTCTTAGGAATCTACCTTCGGTATAGTATTTCTTGATGAAGATTCCCTTTTGGCGGGTTTCTTTATCCCTTTAAATCCACATTCGGTTGGTACCTTTTGTTAAGAGTCCCCTTCGGCTGGTCTCTTTTAATTGTAAGTTCTCCTTTCGTTGGCGTTCTTTTCTTAGGAATCTACCTTCGACATAGTATTCCTTGATGAAGATTCCCTTTAAAATGGTTTCTTTATCCCTTTAAATCCACCTTCGGCTGGTACCTTTTGTTAACAGTCTCCTTCGACTGGTCTCTTTTCATTGTAAGTTCGCCTTTGATCAACGTTCTTTTCTTAGGAATCTACCTTCGACATAGTATTCCTAGTTAAAGATTTATCTTTGGCTGGTTTCTTTATCTTGAAGTCCACCTTCTGATGGCACCCTTCAAATCCACCTTCGGCTGGTACCTTTTGTTAAGAGTCTCCTTCGACTGGTCTCTTTTCATTTGTATGTTTTCCCTTGATCGACATTCTTCCCCCTTTAAACTCACCTCCGACTGGTATCATTTGTCAAGAGTCCCCTTCTATTGGTCTCTTTTCTTTGTAAGTTTGTCTTCGATCGACGTTCTATTCAGAGTCAATGTATATTTGTATCCCTAGTAATTTTTTCTTCGATTGGCGTTCATTTGTTAGAGCCTTCTTTGGTCGGTATCTTTCTTGTGTATGTCTAACCTTGACCTAACATCCAAGAGATTTACTCAGATAACTACTGCAATCTAAAAAAGAAAAAAAATGAAAGTATAGAAAACCAAAAATATAATAATACCTGACTGGTTTTGGAGCGCAAATTTCCAGGTTCTTTTAGTATTTAATCTTCTTCCACCTTGAAAGTTCGAAAAGCTAGCGCCAATCTCACCTTCAGGTTGAAGGCGATTAAATAGGGGAAGTTGTTGCACCTCAAAATTTGCCCTCCTAATATATTTCATTTGACTTAGACTCGTGCATTCATCCACATATATTCCATTAGGCCGTCTGCATTAACATAGCATACCTTCGCATTTAACAAAGTGTATGAAGTTCAAAAGATCATTGGATTGTACATTAGAGCTTCACATGGATTGAGACTTCTACAACAAGTACAATCTGATTCTTTTATTTCACCTGGTTCTTTATGTGAACATTAAAGTGTGAGATTAAGGAATGAAATCTGATTATCAGGGACTCATTTTCTCATCATGAACAATAGGGTGTTTGGTGCTTAAACAGATGATTATGGCTAGTCCAGTCATTAGAAAGGCACTTGATCTGATGGATTTCTTGAATCATGATTTATTTCTCTGTAGGCTTCATAATCAGATGGCTTCTCATGATTAAAGTCTTGTTTGTTCTCATTTGTGTTGATTTCTTTGAACTTGTGGATTAAACTGGGTTTCATTATTCATTCAAGTAATTACTAAGTCAATGTGATTCAATGAGTTCAAATGGTCAAAAATGGATCAAAGTTGGAAGGGTGTTACATGGTTGTCATGGTGTACATCATCAATTTCCTTTGTAACAATATCTATTCTTCTAAATCTCATAATTAGTTCAGATGGTATGAAAAGCTAAGATCATGATTCGCTAGTGGTTCATTCAAAGATTGATTTCATTCATGAATTTCAAGATTTTGTTCAATATTTCCGCAAGGGTTTTTACAAAGAATCATCCAAACGATTTTGGACATACGAAAATGCATTCATTCACATCAAGGCCATTACAAGAAGGCTACATATATCATTCCATCATCATTTTCAAAGGGAAAATAAACTGCATTAAATACATGGAAAAAAACTACATAAACATATGCATATCCCTAACACTAATCTCCATCTTCAGTATTCTTCATGTTCTCTTTTCCAGACTTTTTTAATAGCTTCTCCATTTACATCCAATACTTTTTCAATTCTCTTTAAGTCCTCCATGATAATAATAACTTTGCAACTTGGTTCTCACCCTTAACATCAAGCCTACGTGCTGCATACGACTAGCAGCCATCAGAAACCAATTCGGAAACCGAAGCTATCTTGCAAAAAAAACAGATTGGCACATCATCAACTAACGACATATAATCAATTCAGAAATTTAAATGTGAGCCGAGTCAATTCCATCAGTGCATAACAGTTCAAGGCATTCCAACATAGTTCAGTTTAGAGTAACATTACCTCACATGTATTAGGTCCACATTTCAATATACATGCACCTTTAAATCCGCATTCAGAGTCGGCTTGTGTATGCAGCCCAGATTCACATTCTAAACCACTCAAGATTCACTCCATATGCACCTTCAAGTTTAGTTCGGATACACATTAAAACACGCCTCTATTCAATGAAGAAAACAAAATCAAACAGAAGAAGCATCAGGAAAAAGAGATAAAAAGGATATCTGAAAATTGTGAGATAAGCAATCGAAATAACATGAACTGGGAATTTAATTGATGACAAAAATAGGGAGAAACAGATTCAGAATTCTAACTCATAACTAACTTAAAAATCAGAACAAATTCTGACCATTCAGTTTATAATAGAATCCATAGCTAACCATTCAATTAACTAACTCTAACCAATTCCTAACTAACTTCTAACAGCTCTAACAGAACATAGTGGAGACTTACCAGATTTATTAGGGGGGGCTTCATGATTCTGCAAAGGAATCTCCATCACATAAACTTTCTCTCCTCCTCTCACCTTGATCTTCATGATTCTTCACGGTTCACTGGGGAAAATCACAAAAATACCAGAAAAAACTCTCTGAAACACTCTCTTCTTCCTCTCCCAATCTTTAATCTCCATCTTCATCATCACCATTTTGTTCACTTTCACTCTTCCTCATTCTTCCCCCAATCTTCACCTCCAATTCCTGCACTCTCTCAACTATGAATTGTGTTGAATCTTCTTCAACATTCATCAAATCGTCCACTCTCTGATTCACACCTTTATCTTCATAACAACAACAACATCCTCCGTCATCAACCTGCATTCACAAAAAGGCTATCTCTGCATAATCCTCAACAAATCTTCATCTTCTTCAATCACAACCTTTAATCCCTATCAAATTCTATGCATTTTCAAATCTCTTTTTCTATGCAACTTCCATATTAATCAGCGTTTTTGTGCTTCAGTTCGCAGCTTCACAACAACAACCTCTTAGCACTCCTCCATCTTCGACGTACCTCCATCACTTTCGATTTTCAGAATCTTCATCGCACAACATTCTTCAAACACAAGAATGCAACACCAACAACCACACTTAGTGCGCAACAACAAATTATAATTTCTACCCTACAGAAAGAGTGGAAGAAGAGGATTGGCGCAAAGGAAAGAAGAGCGTGGTATTACCTGTAAATTCGAGATCCTCTAGGTCTATCTTCGTGACGTCACTGTTGAAGAACCTCTGGAGTGTCTCCGGTAGGTAAGCGGAGTCGTTCACCACTCTCCTTCATATGTTCTCTATACCATAGTGTATAACGGACCTCCATGATTGTTCTCCTTAAGGTCTCTTGATTCAATTCGCCGTCGTTGGGATTTCATCGCAGATTCAGTATACCTAGGGCGTCTTTTCTAACCTCCTGATCTCTCCGTTTGACGAAGCTTCTGTGAAATCCATGGATAGATTCGAGCTCTGAGCGTTAACCTAGGTTAGATTTGTGTTGATTTTCTTCTGAAACGAAACAGAGAGTTTGGCCGATGATGGTCATGTGGCTGCAAGCAGCGCTAAATAAGAGTGGAGGGAGAAATTTCTTGAGAGAAGAAGAATGTGTGCATTAGAACTGAATGGTCATAAGACCTAGTATAATAAAAATTCACAATTTAGGGCCATTATTTTCTTTATTTTGTAAGATTTGGGTCGTACAGAAATCTAACAGTGGATTTTATTATTTGCTAATGGACTGAATTGTGCTGCTAAAATTAGGTCCATTACAATATGTTTTTGGGGAGCCTGATCATTTGTAACAAAAATAACATCATGGACTCTTAGTTGGGCCTTCAGCGACTAAACTTTACTTCACCATAGATCTTTATCTGGACTGTACCCCCTAAAGCCCATAACAGCTGGTTTTTGGCACACTTGAGATAGCTAGAACAAAAAAACCTCTTGCTAGACTTTGTATGGCTGAGCCAGCGCCCATATTACTTCTATATCCCCCTGATTTCAGCTTGCACCCCCTGAGGTAATTCTATTAGTAATTTCTTTTAAATGATTTTGTGAATTGTTTAGATTTGTTTGAAATATGTTTTTTTCACATAACAAAAATTATTTAATCAATAAAAAACTTGTTAGATTTTTTATTTAATTTTTAGGAATTAAATCCCAATTATTCGATTATTTGAGATTTGTAATTCACCTTTTCTTTTTGAGATGATATCCCTCAGCATGTTCCCTTAGGAGCTCTTGATTCATCTATAGATGATCATTTGAGATATACATAGTTTTAGGTGATACACCATTGCTATGCTCCTTTAGAACTTCTTGATTCATCTATAGATGATGATTTGAGATAGACATTAGGATTGTTATCCAAGCATGTCAACATAGGGTAGATATTTCCCTTCAAAACTCAACTTTAGAATCAATCATTATATGATAACATTAGGGATAGATCTAGGTTAGTCTCCCTTAGATTTTTTTTCTTTCTTTTGTATCCTTGCATTAAGACTAAAACTCTTTTTTTCTTCTTGAAAATGCATAAGACATCTAACAGCTTCCAAATCCTTCTTTAAGGTAAAAGATATCAACCAATGCAAACTATTTTGTGCCTTCAGGATTTTCTTTCAAACATTTTTAAAAGAACATGTTAAGTCACTTTTGTGCTGACGCGCAAGCCTCCAAAGGTCGAGTTGCGACAGAAGGTGAAATTAATATTGTTTATTAAAAAATACAAACCAACAAAAACTTTTGAAGTTGAACTACGACTACTCTGATTCCTTAAAAGGGATACGTAGGCATTGGGGTAGGGCTCGAACAAGCAAAACTTTTTTATTTTCCATACATTATTTTCTCTTTTCCTTTGCAAGCATTCCCTGTACAATTTAGATATAAATTCTTACACACCCTTTGATTAGAACAACAAGAGTGGATACCGTAGAGTACTACCAGCGTGTGGGGTGCTAATACCTTCCCTTCGTGTAATAGACTCTCGTACACAATCTCTCAGTCGTTTGATCATGATTTCAGCCTTCTCAGGTTTACTCGATGTTTACCTTTCCTTTCATGCGGGATAAAAAAGTTTGATGACGACTTCATTGATTTCATTATCAGATGGTTTTTAGCCGGTTGTTTCAGCGATTAAGAGCTCATAGATAACTACGGATAAAAAGGGTGCTGACACCTTCCCTTTTCATAATCTACCCCCTGAACTCAAAATCTATCAAGGTCTTTCCTGTTCTTTTCCCCCTTTCCTTATTGGATAAAAGAAAAGTCTTTGGCGACTCTTGGTATCCTCAACATTAGCGATAAAACGCAAAACCAAGTCAGTTCTCCCACCTTATTACAGAACTGGCGAATCTTCTTGGGAATTAGATTCTTTAAAAGAGGGGTTACCTTATAGTTATATCACTTTTACTTAAAATTGTTTTCTTTGTTTGCTTTATATTTAAGGGTTACTAGGGTTTATTTCTTGCAAAGATCCTACACCCGGATCTGGGGATACCTTAGGTAAGTAGCAATAGATCATGGAAACTATACGGCGTATACCGATATGGTTGAAGTGATGGCTATGTTAGTGTGACACTTTTATGTGTCCCTCAAGTTAGTCGAGGAGAACACTAGGCTGTCACGTAGTGTCATAAGCACTAACTGACTTTTAGAATCTTAATTAACCCAACTTTGCCATTAGAAGGTAGTTAGATGGCCGACTTTGGAGAAGTCCAAAGTTGGTTGATACTCGGTGCTACACTCATTGAGATTCGACTCCCAGGATATTTTGGTTGCAAGTCAGTTGCTCTGTTGAAATAAAACCTGCGAGAAAGATCCCTAATATGAGATCCCTAGAACCCAGTTACTATTTTTAGGACAGGTTGAGCCAACTTAACTTCAAAAGGGTACTTACCTTCTAACATCATGTAAGCCTTTAAACCTAAGGCTATTGTGTGATTTGTTTGTGTTTTCCATATGTTCAAACATGACATCATGACATCATAACATCATACCATAGCATTTTTACTAACTATTTCAAGGATCTCAAGGACCTGTGATGTAAGTTTATCATGAACCAGGCGTCTAGCAAGGGGCAAGAGGATTTATTTTCCTCTAATCAGATGCCGTCAAAGACCGAAGTGCGTTCTTTTAAGTTAAAGGCTAGGATTCACTCGACATGGTGAGCTTGATTCTCATAGAAGGACGTTCAAAGATGCAAATTTCATCAGTCAAAGCTGCAGCCAGACTCAACTTCTAACATTTCACTTTTGTTTATCCCACGAGATTCTTGAAAACATTGCATATGCATCTATATACCATACATATCATTACATAACAAGTATTCCCAAGATAGGTTTTCTCATCTTCTTGCTGTTTATTTCAGTAAAAGATGGCTCTCGAACAAACTGTGAAAGATTTTCAAGCTCAGAAAGCTCAATTCCAACAAATGTTCATGGACTTAGCCAAGGGGCAAAAAGAGCTGAAGACACTCATCACCAAAGTGAGAAAGAATAAGACTAAGAAGCCAACTGTCATTCTTAATATGGGTAGAAGGTTCAAAGGTCCGGTCAGGAGGGCTCTATATTTTGAGGTCCTATCAAATGAAGAGGATAACCAAGAGGAAGATGATAAGAGTGTGAAGGCTGAGGAGAATAACGATCAGGGTTCTGATGAAGAGGAAGCAAACTATTCAAATAAACAGTATCCTTCGGTTGATGACAAATGCAAACAGCTGAAAGATCGTCTCAATGCTATGGAGATTTAGAGAGTGTTTGGGTTGGATTTTGAAGATCTTCGTTTAATCTCAGGAATTGTGATTCCTCACAAATTCAAGGTCCCTACCTTTGCAAAGTATGATGGTGTTTCTTGTCCAAAGCTTCATTTAAGGTCGTATGTTTGAAAGATTCAACCCCATACTGCTGACAGGAAGTTATGGGTGCACTTCTTTCAAGAAAGCTTATCGGGAACACGGTTGGAGTTGTTCTATCAACTGGAAGGAACCAACATCCGTACTTAGGAAGAATTGGCTGCTGCCTTTTACAAACAATACCAATACAATATTGATCTTGCACCAACCCGTGTGCAATTACAAAGTATGACTATGAGCTTGAACGAAGGCTTTAAGGAATATGCCTAGAAATGGAGGGATCTATCTCGAAGTGTTCAACCTCCTTTGTCTGATAGGGAGGTAGTTGATATGTTTATGGGAACTTTGACTAGATTTTTATTTAATCATATGATTGGAAGCTCTTCATCCGGATCCACTGATCTGATATTACTTGGTGAACAAGTTGAAGGTATAATTAGAAGTGGAAAGATTTAGGTAGCTACGTCTTCAAGTGTTGTGAAGAAGACGTTCAACAGAAAGAAGGAAATTAATATTGTGTATGGAAAAAAGGGTCGTGCTAGAAGTGATCGCAACCAATCTGTGTAGGAGGTTCTAATTTCTAATCATGTGCCTGTGCAACAACAACAACAGGGTAATCAACATAGGTCAGACGCACCCAGGAGACAATTTATAAATATCAACATGCCGTTGTCTCAAGCATTATAACATCTATTGAAGGAAGAGTTGATAACTTTTAGGGATCCTCCCCAGAATCCTAACACCTCCTCTCCTCAATACAATCCAAATTCAAGATGTGATTATCATTCCAATAGTCCCGGACACGACACCAATAATTGTTGGGCTTTGAAGAATAAAAATTTAGGACATGATTGACAATAAAGATTTTGAGTTTGATCCTCCCGAGATCCCCAACGTGATTACTGCACTTATACCTAAGCACAACAAAGGAATAAGTGCTATTGATGATGTTCTTTATGCTTCTGTTGTAAGTGAC